ATCAGAAAAGAGGCTCCATGATATATTTTCAGGGTTCTCCAGAGAAACAGCCAATGTGGGGGAAGGGAGTTCATACAAGAATTGCTTCATGCAATTGCCTTATGCAGTTCTCAGGCTGAGAACCCTGAAGATACACTGCCCTGTCTGCAAGCTGGAGAACCAAGAAAGCCAGAGTTATAATTCAGTCTGAATACAGAGGCCTGAGAGCCAACGAAGCTATGTAATTCTCAGTCTGAAGGGGCGGGGACAGGTGCTGCTGATGTAATTCTTCAAGTCTGAAGGTCCAAGAACCAGAAAGTCCAATGTCTATGAGCAGGAAAAGACAGGTGTCTGGCTCAAGAAGAGAGAGGGAATTCACCTTTTTGCTCTGTGCTGGCTCCCAGATTGAGTCACACCTGCCCACATAGGTGAGGACAGGTCTTCTTTAGTAAGTTTGCCCATTCAAATAGTCATCTTCTGGCTGGACAAATAGCTCAGAGGATTAAAGCACCTGCTTAGGCAGACACAGGGGCTGGGGGTTCGATCCCCTGGCCTGCAGTGCCGGCCCCACCCCCAGGGCACGCTGAGACAGCGATTGAGACTGGGCATGGTGTCATGTGCCTGGTAATCCCAGCACTAGGGAGGCTGTAAACAGGAGAATTACTATGAGTCCGATCTATGCAGTGAGACCCTGTAGACCCTGTATATCCTGTTCTAAAATATGAAGAAAAGAAAAAGACACAAAAGAGACTATACATATGGGCCAGGGAGATAGCTCAGTAGAAGAAGCACTTACCTTGCAAGTGCAAGGTCCTGAGTTCAATTCCCAGTACTGAAAAAAAAAAACAAAACTCATCTTCTTGGGAAACATCATCATAGACACACCCAAAAACCCAAAAATAATATTTTGCCAGCTATCTAGGTATCTCTTAGCTCAGTTGACACATAAAATTCACTGTCACAAATGCCAAGGCTGGCAGGAACATAGGGATCATGGGAACTCTCATGGGTTGAAATATAAACTGGTACAGGCATTCTAAAAACCAGTCTCAGGCTGAGGATAGAGTTATGCAGCCCTGCCCTTGCCTGGCAAACACAAGTTCCTGAGCTGGATCCTGGGTATGGGGAAAAAAAAAAAAAAAAGACTAGCTGGGATGAATGGGAAAATTAGGAAACAACAAAAATCTTAAACACAATGGATTTGTATGTTAAAAACATGAAGTTGTAGCCAAGTGTGGTGGTACATGCCCATAATCTCAGCATTCTGGGAAGCCAAGGCAGAAACATGACAAGTTCAAGTCCAGCCTGGGCAACTTAGTGATTTAGTGAGAACTTGTCTCAAAATGAAAATAACTTCAGGCCTGAAGATACTGCTCAGTGTAAAAGCCCTGGATTCAATCCCTGGTATAGAAGGAAAGAAAGAAAGGTTGAAAGACAATGTAACTTATTTCAAAAGATACTATGTATTTAATAAGTACAACTTATCATACACCAACGTTGGATCCTATGATGGAGACAGGAAGAGGATAAAAATTAAGGGAGGATGAAATAAGACCGTTAAACAAATGAGAAGCCTTGAACAGATGGACAATGACAAAGTTCCTTAAACTGAAGAATGTGTTTATTTCAGCTGTCCCCACCTGTTTCATTTTTAATAGACTGTATATAATATGTTAAAATGTCTAAAAGTGTACATATTAAAATGTTAATCATGGTTATCTCTGGGGGCAATGTTAAAGGTGAGACTTTTTCTATTCCGAATACATATTGCATAAGTAACACGTAATTTTTACATTCTAAGAAATTTATCTGGCTATTCAGAACTCCTTTTCTGCTGTTGGATAAATGTACAATAACCTACTAAAATCAGCTGCCTGTGTGGTCAGAGTCATTTTATTGTTTTTCCAGAATGTTCCAAAATAGCTCTGGAACAAGACCAGTGGGACCACCAGATAGTTATCTAGCCTCGCCCTTCTTCTCATGCAAATGAAGACCAAGCCTTCAGCCCAGCTTTGGCAGAAACCTCTGTGGGATGCTGGATAGCAAGACCTCTTCTTCTGGGTTGAGGAAAGGAGGGGCAGCACTAGGAACTCTCAACGTCGGCTCAGAACAGCCTCTGAAAAGCTGCCTTGGCAGGAGTGGCCAAGACAAAAGGTTCCACCTCAAGGGTGGAAACTCTATTTACAGCTTTGTAGACACAGGTGTTCTTCTAGGCGACTTAAGACCTACAACCAGGGACGGTGTTGGGCCAGGAATAGCTCAGGAGGCCGTCCCCTCAGAAGCCAGCTCTTGAAGTCCTCGGTGTATGTTCTAACTATATTTGGCAATGCAAACCAAAGAGGTCAGCAGCTTAGCTCAGGGGGGAAAAGGCTATTCCTGATTTATAATCCCTGCTGCAAACCAAGACCAGGAATTTAAAAACTCGCTTCATTTATTTATTTTTCTCACAGTGAGCTTGCTACGGAGGCAGCTCTCTTTTCCAATTTTACCAGCCCTCGTGTAAATCTTTCAGAACCACAGGTGCAGATCACCTACCCAAACCATCCCTGCAGCAGGGGACATCTGGGGACAACTGGCTTGAGAACCTAAACTTTAAAATTATCTCACTTTACTCCTTCTGACTTCACGGCATCAAAATAGCCTGTCCCATGTGGGTGCAAATCCAGCTTCCATCATTTACTGCTCGCTGTGTGACCTTGGGGAAGTCTCTTTACGTCTCTGAGGTTCAGCTTCCTTATCTACAAAGAGTGATAATAGCACCTACTTCAGAAGGCTGCTGGAAGAACCAGATGAGATAAGGTACAAAAAGGGGCTGGGAGAGTATCTGACACCAAGCAAGTGCTAAAAAAAGAATCTGTTTCTATTCCTTCTCATCTCTCCCTTTCACCCTTAGGTGTTCAGGCAAAGTGTTGGCTTTTCAAGAAATGCCTGGTACCCTTGATTGATTACAAATGGTACCGTTCCAGCAACAGTAGCTGCAGATAAAAGCTGTGACTACTTCTCAGCTGTAGACAGGTCCAATCAGCTCACAAGTGACTCACCATTGTTGATAAATGATGTGTTATTGGCATTGAGAGGGCCTGTCCGGATAAACTTCAGCATTGTATGAAAAAAAAAATCCAGGTTGATTGAACAGCTTACAGAGAAGTGCCCAGGGTTGGATGGTGACCTTCCATTAATCCTTAACACTACCAGACTGGTCATAAGGGGCTCTCTGTCTCCTCAGAAAGGTCTGCAGTCACAGGATTGGTAGTGGGAAGGACTCCAGTTGAGCAGCTGCCTCTTTCCTCTCAGAGCTGAACCATTTCAGATTCACTTGCTCTGGATTCCCTGAAGTCATAAGACTCCTGGGCAGAAAAGACTGGATGCCTGCTCCCTGCTCACAGCGGCCCTAAGCCAGTACCCAACCTGCCTTTGGCAGCTTCATCCGGAGGCGGCTGAAGTTCTGCCAGGGTGAGGTTTGGCTGGAGGACCCTGTGGCTAGGGGGCAAACCTCGGCTCAAGGGAAAGGGTGAGTGTTTAATCTTGAGCCACTGTGTGCAAGGCCGAGCGTTACTTGCTGTCAGCAGCTACCATGGCCCCTGCTGACATCCACCCACCCAGAGCCTCCCCCTGGCACAGAAATTCCTTGACTGTAACTTTTAGTCACTCCCTCATTCATAAAAGCCCTGTACTTTTCAGAGCCTGGCGCATGGGTCCCTCAATGTGAATGTTTATTAAGAGAGGCTCTGTGGTCACACTTGTAACCCCTCACTTCTGGCAGATCCCCAACACTTTTAAGATCAACCAAGAGAGGACAGGGAAGCTTTCCAGAAGGGACAATCGTTTTCCCTTTGGGTCTTCAAGATATTGGCTGACACAAAACAGGGCGGGGAAATCCAAAACAGCCCCTCACCCCCTAATTGTTCACATGCCCCTGCTCTTCGAGTCACTAACGCGGGGCTTAGGCTCTAGCATCTATCAGCGGAACTCAGAGCAACCTTCTAAGATGATAAGACATAAAGAAAGCAAGGAGGAAGGAAGGAGGGAGAGAAAGGAAGGCCTGAGAGAAGTGGGGCGAATATGTAAGAGCCTTGGGGAGGAGGAAGGAAGAGGAGAGCTGCGAGGGGAGGCGGAACAATGAAGGTCTCGGGCCGTCGGAGGCGCACGGTTCCGGCCGCACGTCCGTCCAGCCCGCCTCCGGCCAACAGCTGCACGCCGCGCAGCATGTGGGCGCTGAGTCACTGTCCCAGAACAGCGAGCCGCGGAGCAGGTTGGGGTGAGGGGAGGCTGGTTGGCATCTGCAAACTGTTTTTTTTTTTTTCTTTCCTCTTTCATTAAGGTTGTGTGCTGACTCCCACGTAGAAGAACTTATTAAACCGCACGTACAGCCTCAAGACTCTTGGAGGTGCTATCCGAGACTGCAGGCAGGGGGCGCTACAGCCTAGTCTATGAGCCTGCGGGCTGGTGGGGCGCTCGGGCCGCAGAAGGCTGGGGTTACTGGGCGGCTGCGTTCCGTAACAAGTCTGAACAGTTTTGCTGGGGAAGCTTCAATTTTTAAAACCTGAAGCTGTCTATGCAAACTCCTCCACTTAGCTTGAAAGACCACCCCAACTGTCCAAAGAGCGCTGTCGCTCAGGGTTCCTAGAGTGACTCCCTAAAAATGGGACTCGGTTGCGCAACTCGGGGTGTCCAGGCTCGCCTCCTCGCTGGAGCTCGCCCTTCCCCACCCAGCCTGGCTGCCACGCGAAGCAGTGATCTCGGCGGTCACCGTGAAGAGCCCTTACTCGCACCCTGTACTCAGGATGTGCGCTCTCCCTAACCACCTCTCCCCTCCCCCCCCCAAAAAAAAAGCAGAGCTCAAGACGACCAAATCCGAGCGGAGCAGAGCCAGCTCGCACCCCGATCTCGGCCCTAGCTTCCAGACCCGGGATCCCTATGCTCTCGGGCAGACCCGGGATCCCTATGCTCTCGGGCAGACCCGGTCCAGAACTCACCAGGGATGCTGAGCCGAGAATGAATCAGTAAGGAGACAATTTATTTGCTGTTCGCATATCACCCATTTTATGTAAATAGATTATACAGACACAATGTTCCCTTCCACAGGCAGTATTCAGGTGCACTGTTATTTTATGCACAGACACACACGCACGCACGCACGCACTCCACGAACCCAAACATTACACCTCACTAAAACGTTCACTTCTTAAAATAGGAGGGGGATAGAATTGCTCTAAAATGCCCTTTTAATGCAATATATAACGTACAAAAATATCTCTATATATTTGAAGTTACAAAATAATCTTGACAGCAAGAAACTTAAATATTGATAGTTATCTCTGTATGTACGTACAACACACATTGCACTTTTCCTCTCTAGGTTTTGGAAAGTTCAAGTAATAATATTGAGGCTTGCGCCCCGGTAGGGTGACACCCCACGAGAAATTGGTTCATGGATGGGCAAGGCAGTGGCTCAGCCCCCACCCGTGAGTCCCGTGCCCACCCCATCCCCAGGGAGGAGGGACTCAGGCCCTGAACAGAGTGAGGAAACCATTACCCTGAAAGGGAGGAAGGGTTGTCCTGCAAAGCCAGGGCTCTGGCCAGACTGCGCGTCCTCTACTCCAAGTCTCTGCAGGACTGACAGTCTCAGCCTGGTCCCCTGCTGAAGCCCAGGAGCCTAAATCCTCCGGAGGGTGGCGAGCACTCGGTGCACCTTGGAGCCAGGGGCCGCGCCAGCCTGTGACTCGGCCGACACCAGAGTCCGGTCCTGCTCGGCTTCCGGCAGGGAACGACGCCTCCGGCGACCGTAGCCCTGGGGACTGATCTTGCTTCGAGGGGCGACGCCGTCCTTGTCCTTGTCTGTAAATTGGTAAATCTGGTGCGCCAGCTTCTGCACCGTGCATGTTCCGAAGCGGCAGCCAAAGCTTCTGAAGCCTTGCCGGTAGCGCTTCACTCGGTTGAGGACGGCCCCCGTACCACTGCGGAGCGAAGAGAATACAACTTGAGACCCCCATCAAGCAGGGCTTTAGCCCCAGTCGCCAGAGATGACAACGGTTCTAGGATCCGAAGGAGCTGTAAAGTGTTTCCCCAAGGTGCGATCCAGCCCAACGACCCGGGACCCTTCTGCAACGGGCAGTTACCTGGCTTGAGGACGCGCAGGGGCACTCTCCAAATTCTGTGGCGCTGGGGCCTTCTGTGCCAATCCGGCCTTCGCGTTTGCGAGCCCAGTTGGGTTTCTGCTGGACGCCGGCAGTTCTCTCTTCCCACGACTGACAGCCCATTTATTCCATCTTTAAAGAAAAACACAAGCAGACTCGATCAGAGTGCGTCCGGGCGGCTAGTGGTCAGTTCCACTCCCAGTCACTTCTAAACCCGGGTAGCAGGACTGGAGAAGGCGCTGTCCCAACTTACTTCTTTATGGTCTCAGACGCCCCGTCGAGCCACGCAGCGTCCGCGCCCAAGAAGGCCAGAGAGCCCAGGAACACCAGGGCGACCGAAAACAGTTTCATTCTGACGATGCACAGACCCTAGAAAAGTCGAAGAACCGAGCATTTGCACCGGAGCAGCTGCACCGCCCGGGCGGGGCACAGAGGGCAGGCGGGGGCCCGGCGCGGGCTGGCTCTACCCGCGCTCGGACAGGCTCCCACGCTTATCTCCCCTGGGCGCATAGAGGCGCCAGAGGCGTTGCAGCCGCCCAGAGGGTGACAGGCCCTACAGGGGCGGCCCCTGACCTGCTCAACTCCTAGGGACTTGATTCTGGAACAGAGAGAACTAGTCTGTTCCGCCCCATCTGTGTGCACGAGCTGGGTCCGGGATGTGGGGTGTACCCCAAAGAGAGGATCCCGCAGATAGGCTGTTCTCTTCACCCAGCGCTCCCAGTTTCCGGTCCCGGGAAAAGCGCCCCCACCCCCGCTGAGCCTGCGGCACCTACCTGCTGAAAGAGTGATCTGCCAAGTGCTTGCAGGAGAAAGTCCGAGACGTCCTCTGACAGTGGCGAAACCCCAAAGTCCAAGACTGACTGCGGCGAGCAGACAGAAGTGGTAAGACTGGAGTTGCTCTGCCTAGTGTCACCAAGAAACCACTCAGCGGCCAGCTCTGGTTCCTGCGCTTTATAAGAGCGCAGAGGGGGGCGGGGCTTGGACTGCCCTCTAGCCCTTCCTTTCCTCCGGGGCGCGCGCTCCTCCATGCGGGTGCACGCATTGCTTTCCAGTGGGTGTGGGACTGGAGGGTCTCTGGTGCCCACAGGGCTCAGAGATAAGCTCCTGGAAATTGGTGAAGGAATTTCCACTGCCCTTATTCTCTGGCATGTAGTTCAGACAGTAAGGGGGGGGGTGGCAGAGGAGGGCCTGTACTGCTTTCTGGGGTACTTATTCCAGAATTTAACACATCCCAGAGTATGGGGCTTCCTGGGATAGCGATACAAGAGTCAGAGGGGTCGGGATGACCGCGCGAAAGACTGGAGACTGGGGAGCTGTGGCCTTAAATAGCCCCTGGCCCCTGCCGGCTCAATGACTGACCCAGCCTCGACCTCAGACTCCAGCAGAAACCTAGGGGATGGGTACAGAGCAGAATGGGTTTGGCCTGCCCCCTCAGAGCAGCCGGGACCTCGGATTCCTGGATGGGCTAGTAAGATTTCGCAATCAGGGCAAGTTTGAAGTCGCTGTAATAAGAATTGAGATTTGGAGGGGGTAGTTAACTGAAATTTCAGAATTTATGTGCCAATTTAGAAATACAGGAATAGCCAAAATTAGAAAGAGATACCATTTTATTCCCCCACCCTGTAATCCAATTATGCCTTATAAGGTTATAACCTGAGCGCTTGCCTGGCAGCTTTCCTGCGCCCATTGTAAACGTGAGGACTGGCTGGCAGGAGCACACTAATGCTTCACGTATGTTAATCGCTTTACAGTTTACAAAGCACATCCCAGTGTCCTTTGATCTTGACACTCACCCTCCGAGTTAATAGAGGAAGGTAATATCACTTTTCCCATTTCACCGAGGGGAAAATTGAAGGTCCCAGAGCTGAATTTTATTGTCCCAAAGTCACACTAGAGGTAGGAAGCGATAGACTCCTACTTGTGCCTGGTTAAGCAAGCCCAGATTGGGGTGCGGTGGCGTGGATTCTTTTAGGCTGGGGTCACTATCTCTCAGAGAGGGAGAGGAGAGTTCCAGCCCCCACCCAAAAAATGTGCATGTTCATTATGAATCAGTTTGAACATGTTTGTCACTGTTTGTGCTTGTCCCTCACAGCGTCTTGAGAGTTTTTATTTCTTATTTCCTTTCTGAAGGCCAAAAAGAAGAGCAGCCCTTAGGGTGCTCCCTTCCTGCATACCAACCTTTCTGTTACCAGCTACTCCATTCCAATGTCCTGGAGCCCAGTGACTAGGCTGAGAGGCTTCTGACTAGATTGGCTTCTGGTCTTGGCCCCCTAGTTTACTCCTTCGTGGACACATCCTCTCCCTAACGTCTCCATCTAGTCCAGCAGAGCCCTAAGTTTCTTACCTGCCCTGCCATAGTAGTCCTGCGAGCACCCCAGGGCAAAGGCAGGTGGGTGCTGGGGTCCGAGAACCTTGCCCACAGCTTGAGCTAGGCTGAGCACTGCTGACTCAGCCCCCTTTTGGTTCTCAGGACTGAACCATGGACATGACACCCAAGAAAAATTGGGATACATTGAGGTTATTTATTCAGAGGACTCTTCCCAGAGCCAGTCGCCTGAGTAGACTTGAAATCCAACTGAGGACAGGGGACAGATTTGAGACTCTGGCTCTGGTGAGAGCTTGGGACATGCTAGGGATCAAGAAGGTACAATCTGGAGAACTGGTCAACCTCGGAACACATGGCTAGTTACAGGACAGTCCCTGCAGTGGCCTGGGTCCCATGGCTGGTCTATTTGCACCAGACAGCCCATATAACCATGAGCTGGCTAGTTCCAGGAGCTTCCCCAGCCTAACTATTGTTCTTTTCACTCACACCTGTCATACCTCCACCTCTTCCTTTCACTTTGCTCCCCAAATTGTCTTCACACAGATCATATCCAGGACAGGCAGTAGGATGCAATCCTATCTGTCCCCAGCTTCCAGCTGGGTCCCTGCCAGGTCATATTTTACTTTCATTTTCCCTGGTACACGCCTGGGACTGCCTAGGAAGCCAAGGACTGATGGACACTGGCCCATAGCCAGCAAAGTTCCCAAGACCTGGACTCCTTCCTCTCAGTCCCTATCATCTCTGAGGGGTTCCACCTGGGGGCAATTCCATGGCAAGATATCCTTGCCTCCTACCTATGTTCTTCAGAAATATCCATGATTCTTGGAGGAAACTAATCTCTTGATTCAGTGATGAGGATGGGGATCAAACTCCTCCTTGGGCTGCAGGCAGCTTCAAAAAGCGAAGTAATCCCAGGATTGCTCAGCTCTACTAGACTGCACTGCCTTTGCCAGCAGCAGGAATTGTCAGAAATTCCTACCTGGAACCCTCAGTATGTCTACTACCCTCCTGCATCCTCTTAGTTACTCTCAGACTTAAGACATCTGTCACTTAAAAAGCAAGCCAATTCTTTTTTTATCTGAAGTTTTGGATTGGCAGTTCAGAGGACTTTGCTAGAAAACCCATATCTTGGAAAGTGTGTTTGTGTTTCCATGGGTGAGCATGAAAAGGGGCCATGTGCTCCTCAAAGTGTTAAAGTAGGAAAAAAGAGAAGTAACTCCCCAAATCTGCATTTATTTTATTTTATTTTATTTATTTTTTGGTGGTACCAGGGATTGAACTCAGAACCTTGTTCTTGCCAGGCAAGTGCTTATTGTACTGAGCTATCTCCCCCGCCCTTTTCTTTTTTTGTGGAATCAAATTGGCTTAATTAATCATCATAAATGGAGGGAAAATCACTAAACGAATGTGTTTTGGGTTCAATGGGCCTATCTAGAAGGAAACGCCACAGTAGGAGTTCTGCATGGGTGATTTGTTAACAGTTTGGTTCAAGCTGGGGAGATGGCTCAGTAGAATAAGCACTTCCCTGGCAAGCACAACGGCCTGAGTTCAATCCCTGGTTCCGCCAAAAAACAAAAAGCAACATTTTGGTTCACTTAGATTCTGAGGATTGTAAATTCACATTGAGCAGGGACTGTACATGGAAGGAAGGGAGAGAGAGAGGGAGGGTGGGAGGGAAGGAGAAAAAAAAGAAGGAAGGAAGGAAAGGAGGAAGGGCGGAAGAAAGCCAGGAAGAAACATCTTAAAATCTTCCTGGCGAGAAAAGAAAAAGAAAACAGATGAGATTCTGGTTAAGGAGATAATACTTTTTTTTCTTTTTTGCAGCCAAGAGTTTCAAAAAGTAAGATTACAAATAAACCCCCAAACACTTTAATAAACATATATATCCTGATATCAGTATACAAATATTAAGGTCTTATTGAATAATGGTATTTCAATTTCTTCTTCACGTTTCTACTGAATCAATTTTAAGCCTTAAATCCAAAGTTTATTCTTAGTCATGTTTGGAGTCTTAAAAAATGTGTAGTCATGGTTTCTCAGCTCATATTGTGGACACTGTCCCTACAGCTAGCATGAGACACATCTGGGGCTTTCAGAAAAGTAATGATGAGTAATAAATAACATTAATGATATTAATAAGAATAACTAAAATGAGTCGCTAAGTACATTGTATAATGTCTCAGATGCCTTTTTTTTTGTCCAACAGGAAATTTTATGTTATGTTTATTGTTCATGCAGTTCAAAATGTCTGTTGAGTGTAGGGCTTGTTTACAAAGTTGTTCTGAAAAAAAGTTTCAAGATGTATCCTGAAGTCATAATAGTAAGTGGTTTACAGAAAGGACACAATCGGCCTTGCAAATTTGGTCTCATAAAGAGAAATAAAGTGGAATACACAGCCCAGCGTGCTTTTTTGGGATCGCTGACCTCTCAAAAGAGCTAATAAAAACATAGATTCAGGGCTGGTGAGATGGCTCAGTGGTCTAAAGCACCTACTTAGAACAAGCTTAGCAAAGTGCAGGGACCGCGGTTCAATCCCCCAGCACCACATGCCAGCCAGCCCCACCCCCTGGTGGGCTCAGCTGGCCACACACACACACACACACACACACACACAAATAAACAACAACAACAACAACAAAAACATAGATTCTTTCTAGAAAATGAGCATATACATAAAAGCCAATTAGAGAATAAAATAGGCATACATTTCAGGAGGTCGACCAAGTTAAAAACTCTGACACTAAATAAAAAGCACTTTTTATACCTTTAATTTCTATTCGGTTCAGAATGGTGGGTCCAGGAAAGACAGTTAACCTCTGTATTTACAGCACGGTGTTTTCTAGAACATCAGTATAGAGTAATGCTTTTGTGTCTTTATTTTTCCTCCCCTTTCATTTTCTTTTCTGAGGTGATGGGCATCCAACAAGAGGGCCTCGCGCATGCAGCTCTCTGCCTGAGCTCTAGCCCACCTCAGCGCTTCGTTTCTGTGCCCCTGCTCCACCCGTGTACACGATAAAGCCAAATCTTAAAGGTTAGTTTGTAGGACAAATGAAAGATAGATCAGAAAAAGTAGTAAACATAAAGAAAGTTGTTAAATAGCAATAACACAACAAGATAAAATGACATTAGGGCTAGCCAAATACCTTAGAGGATTAAAGCGCCTGCAAGCAGGTGCAGGGGCCAGGGTTTGATCTGCTGTGCTGGCCCTGCCCCCAGGGCGCATTGAGATGGCAATTGAGATTGAGCATGGTGGCACACACCTGTAATCCCAGCTCTTAGGAGACTGTAAATAGGAGGATCACTATGAGTCCAATCTAGTAGTGCACTGAACACTAAAAAAAAAAAAAAAAAAAGATACAATGACATTGAGAGAAACTATTCATTCTTTTTGAGGCAGTGTCTCTCTATGTAGTTCAGGCTGGACTTGAACTCACTATGCAGCCCAGGCTGGCTTCAAACTCACAGCAATCCTTCTGCCTCAGCTTTCTGAGTGCTGGGATTATAAGCATGTACCACCATGTCTGCCTTGTTACTTAACATTGACATCACAGTGGATGGCATTTATGAATGGGAGATAAGAGGTGATCAG